GAAACAGGCGTGAAACGTCTTCGAACTGCGTTTGTTTTAGTATTAGTTAGACTTGTACCTTTAGTATAGTTAGACTTGATAATTGTTTTTTTACCCTTCTATCTGGCAACAAAACTGACACCTTTATTTACAAGGAGTCATGTTTACATAGACCACAATACCTGCAGTCATAATGCAAACAAAAAACATAACTCTGATAATGTGCACTTATCAGAGTTATGTTATGACTGCAGGTATTGTGGTCTATGTAAACATGATTGCTTGTAAAAAAAGGTGTCAGTTTTGTTGCCAGATAGAAGGGTAAAAAAACAATTATCATATTTTTACTGGTAAATGAGGTTCCAATGGTATAGTTAGACTTGTAAACCACTTATTTAAGATTTAAGATTCCCGTATATTGAATGTATGCACCTTCCGGCCAAAGTAAATTCCTTGTCTGTGCGAACTTTCATGGCGAATAAAACCTTTTCTGATTCTGATTCTGTTTACTCGAATTCGTCGGAGGAATCGAACACGATCATCGGCAGAGGAATAATCGATGACCATCCGCAGCTCTTAATCTCCAACGACTGTGCCAGTCGACCGTCCCTCTGCCCTGAAGAAGGCTCATTGCCCGGAACGTGATTCCGTTACATGAACAGTGGTTCTTCAATGTGAACGTTGTACACGGGTTTCCACAGTGCATTGTAAATCAAATTAATCGCTTAGGGGCCGTCCATAAATGACGTCACGCACCTGGGGGGGAGGTTGGGTCAGACATTTGTGACGATGGGGGGGGGGGGGGGTGAGAAATGTGACGTCACACAAAATGTGCAACTTTAAATAAATATAGACAACATCTACGTTCTACTACCCGTACCCGACCGGGTACGGGTAGGGTACGGGTATCGGGTACCCGATTGCGACGTTGCAGGCGCGGGTGGGTTGATTCTAGGAACTTGAATTGTGAGAAGAGACAAGACGTTGGGAAATGAGTGACAAACGGTTACTCACCAGTGACTCACGGCCTACCCGTACCCGGCCGCACCAGGATGGTAAACGGGTACCCGCCGGGTACGGGTAGCCGGGTATCGGGTAAGGTACGGGTATCGGGTACCCGGTTGCGACCTCTGCAACGAAGCGACTTGGAGGCGCTCTCTCTCTCTCTCTCTGCATCGCGTGTCTCTGCCGCCGCCTGGTGCTCGACATCGCCGGCTCATTTGTCACGGCAAGCCTCTCCGGCCATGCGCGTGTGAGGAAGGGCCCGTTGCCCGAAACGTCGCCTATTGTACACTACTCCTTTGGAGGCCGCACAGTGTTGTTCTTAACGGGACGCGTTTTAGAGTTTTTTTTGTGTTGGCTGCGGGATTTGTCCGCCACTGCCAATGCCGCTGTCGTCAGAGGTTCGATTTGGAAGCACCCAGAGGGGCCCAGCACCCAAGTTTCTCTCTCGTGTCATCTTATCTTGAATTGAATCGATGTATCGCCTTATCCGATGCGCTTCACGGGGCGTTGACGGTGGTGCAACGCATGGACGCATGGAACGGTGGCGACGAGGCGAACGAAATGGATGCGAGGAAGCGATGGGGGCGAATCTGTGATGCGTGAGTTCGGTTGAAGCGAAATCGATGGAAGTAATACGATGAATGCATTGATTGAGCGGGGGTTAAGGAGTGATAGCCATATACAGGCAGTCCTCGACTTGCGATGGAGATGCGTTACGACGACCCCATCGTAAGTCGCAAATATCGTAAGTCGAAGATGGCCTAGCCTACCCAGGAGTCTTAAAGAATGATGATAATTTAGCAAAACAGAGCAATTTATAGTACCGTACTGTATAAACTATATACTGTTTGTATTTATTAATTACAATACTGTATTGCACAGTAACATGTAAAGTAAAAAAACCAAGGTAAATTCTTAGCCTACCTATATGAATTGCAATTTAATAGAAAGTTTTTTTCAGGAAACAATCCTATCTGCTATAAACAAAACTTTTAACATGCATTGAACGTATCGTATCGTGGTGACCTTAAAATGAAATCGCTAAAGCTACGTATCATACATATGCATTGAACGTATCGTAACGTATCACATTGTACTGTACTCACCAAGATTCTGTCCGTCGTCTGCATACTTGAACGATGTTAGGTTGTTGATGGCAATTTTGTCGTATCGCCAACGCCATCGTAAGATTGAAAAATCGTAAGTCGGACCCATCGTAACTCGGGGACTACCTCTAATGGGAATGTGAGGAGGGTAGAGTGAGGAAAAAAAGTATTTGATCCCCTGCTGATTTTGTACGTTTGCCCACTGACAAAGAAATGATCAGTCAATAATTTTAATGGTAGCTTTATTTGAACAGTGAGAGACAGAATAACAACTAAAAAATCCAAAAAAACGCATGTCAAAAATGTTATAAATTGATTTGCATTTTAATGAGGGAAATAAGTAGTTGACCCCTCTGCAAAACATGACTTAGTACTTGGTGGCAAAACCCTTGTTGGCAATCACAGAGGTCAGACGTGTATTGCAGTTGGCCACCAGGTTTGCACACCTCTCAGGAGGGATCAAATACTTTTTTCGCTCACTGTAACAGGAACGGTGGCGGTTATGAGGGGGAGATTCAGGGGTCGTGGGGTGAGCTGGAGAACAACAATCTTCGTGTTTTGAGGTGAGGAGCGCAAACTTGGTGAACGAAGGTGACCGCTTCATGTGGAAGTTTGTTCGGGTGAAGGGGGTGGGCGAGTGGAGAGAGAGAAAGCGCGGATCGAGCACAATGGGACTTGGCTTTTGGACCAATTTTATTGCTGCCATCAATAAAAGTGGTTCAAAATCTACAGGTAGTCTCCGACTTACGATGGTCCGACTTACGATATTTCGACTTACGATGGGGTCGTCGTAACGCATCTCCATCGTAAGTCGGGGACTGCCTGTATTTATAGGAGTAGGGGATTCTTGTGTCCGTCCGTCCGTCGTGAATCCAAAAATGGGAGGGGTGGGGAGGGGAGGGTGGGGAGGGGCTGGGTGGGAAGAGTGGGGAGGGAGCTGGGTGGGGAGGGTGGGGAGGGTTGGGCAGGGTGGGGAGTGGGAGGGGTGGGGCTGAGTGGGGAGGGGCTGGTCACCCCGTGGTGCCATTATAAAACGTAACGTTTAACCTACTCACGCCGGCTTGTGCCCGCCCTCACAGTCGGGCATATTTGCGGAATACACCACGCCGCCGTTGACCCTGTCCATTGACCGAGCAACCCAACGTTCCTACCAGCTCCCTCCGCAGGAATGTGTTCAGAGCATGTTTGTTCACCACAAGGATGTGTGGTTAATGCAGACGTGATTCCTTGCAAAACCTTTCTATTTTGGTGTTAGAACATCTTAACACCTGTTTTATTTTCAGAAATAGTAAAACCTATTCTTAGTTTTTATACTTTGATACTGGGAAAAAAGATCCCATGAAAAAGATCGCCTTACCTACGGTAGACATGGGATATTGACAATTGTAGAAATGATAATTGTTTTTTATCCTTTTATCTGACAACGAAACTGAAACCTTTTTTACAAGGAGTCATGTTTGCATTGACCACAATACCTGCGGTCGGAATGCAAACAAAAACACAACTCTGATAATGTATGCTCTGTCCTTGAAATGTATTGGTCCACACCTGAGACAGCTTTTCGTAGAGCCCAGTCTCACATGGTGTTGGACCAGATGATGCCAAAAGGCGCACGAATCAATTTCAAGGACAGTGCATACATTATCAGAGTTGTGTTTTTTGTTTGCATTCCGACCGCAGGTATTGCGGTCAACGCAAATATGACTCCTTGTAAAAAAGGTGTCAGTTTTGTTGCCAGTTAAAAGGGTAAAAAAACAATTATCATATTTTGCGACTGGCAAAGGAGGTCCCAATGGTGTAATTGTAGAAATGTCAATCCCACATCTTAACAGATGGGGGCAGCATTGGGACACAACATTCCCCACCTCCTGTCCCATCAACCGATTCTGCTTTGCAAGAGCGACGCTCTCAAGCAGAGATCTGTGCAAGCGTGCTAACGGTGCACCGGTTTCCACTGTTTTGGGCCTCATCAGCAGAGTCAGGCTCATGAAACAATGCTGCTGAGTTTCCATTGCACAAGGGCACTCCGTCTAAACTACTGGGACCCATGATACAGCCGCTCACCCCGAACAATGAATGCTCTGATACGTGGCATTGTCTTTGTGCTGTTCGCATTTTGGCGTTGTTCTCCGACCATCGGATTCTATTAATTGTGAGCTGTTTTGAATGGACCGTGGCAGGAGTGCGTTTAGGATGTAATCAGGAGGAGGTAGTGATGGGTGGGACGCGTGGTGTGCAGGGTGGAGGAGGTAGTGATGGGTGGGACGCGTGGTGTGCAGGGTGAAGGAGAAGGTAGTGATGGGTGGGACACGTGGTGTGCAGGGCGGAGGAGGAGGTGGTGATGTGTGGGACGCGTGGTGTGCAGGGTGGAGGAGGAGGAGGGCCGGTCAGCGAGACGGACATTGGAGTGGCTGGAACACCCGCCAATGGCCGTCTTGGTGACACAACATCACCAAGCGCGCACACAGACAGTCAAAGATAGAGCGATCACACTGCGTGGGGGGGCGAGTGCTGATAGCGAGCACCATTTAGATAGCGAGCACCACACGAGGCACGTGGGTGGCCGAGACTCCCCTGCCCGGCCGCCTTTGTCTCCCCTAGAGGAGGCTCAAGACCGGTTCAGATCTTCGTCATCGATGTCCGGTCTCCGAGTTCGCAGCGAAGTGAGCTTACCACTGCGCCACCGCTCCCCCCCCCCAACACACACTCGGGAGTCAAACACGCTCGGCTAGACGAGACTGCAGCTAGCGTCTGGGTTGGGATTGGAAGCAGGGGGAGTGCAAACAGTGGCGGGGCAGCGGAGGGGAGCAGAGAGGGGGAGAGTGCAGGGAGAGTAGGTGGTGGGGGGGGGGGGTAACGGGAGGAGGGGAGAGTGGAGGAGTGGCGAGGTGAGAGAGGGGGGAGGGGATCACTGTGCAGGAGGGGAAAGCGAGGAGGGCTCTCTGTGTGTGTGTGTGGGGGTAGGGAGAGCTCTGAGCGCAGAGAGACCGCGGCGAGAGAGACACTGGGAGAGAGAGAGAGCCGGAGAGCAACTCTATCCGATTCGGCTCAACGCAAATCCGTGCACCACGCGAGCCAACAGCTCCATTCGGAACAACCACGACCACCTCGACTCCGTGATAACTTGACTCGACTCCATGCAACGGGACGCAATTTGGAACTCAACTGAACGCAACTCTGCGCGTCTCGACTCCACGCAACTCTAAGCAACTTGACGCAACTACGTATCGTTTAATGAGACCCCCCCCCCCAACTCCCTCCTCACCTCTCTCTCTCTCACCCCTCCTCAACTCGAAGCCACGGAACTCTGTCCAACCGCAACCAAAACTCGCCGTTGACTCTCGACTCGACGCGATGCGACTCGCTTGAGATCGCCTTTTGCGGCCGCGCGCGACCGACGCGGCTACATGGAGTTGCCCAGACGCGCCATCGCCACCATCGTCATCATCATCGCCACCACCATCACCACCTCCATCATCATCATCACCGCCGCCGCCACCACCGCCATCCCGAGCGCAACCGTCGACTCGGTGTTCCCCGATAATGAACAAGGTAAGGCGGTTTCGCATTCGCGCGGATTATTAATCGCATCGAATATTGCGTCCTCGATAACAATTCCGTGATTATCGCGATTCACGAAACGCTGCGCCCGCGTTCGTTGCACGACGCCCCTCTAAGATGTGACCACACACAAAGAGAGATCCCCCCCCCGCCCCTGGCGACGGACTCTTGGCACAAGCTTCTGTTCGCGAGCAGCTGTTGCAGGCCGGCACAGCTGACGAGGGTCGGGGGTGTGGCCGCAACTACGTCAGTGCCGCCTTTGTCTCCCCGGTGTTTGACGTTGACGTACCGAACCAGGTACTTGAGGCTGAGCTTACCTAGGCGGGGGGTGGGGGGGGGACAGCAGCGACTCAGATAATCGTCACCGGTGTTGGTGGCCGTGAGCGGGAATCGAACCATCTGGTTGCCCGGTTCGTAGCGCAGTGCGCTAACCGCTGCGCCACCGCTCCCCACCAAGTCGCATTAACTGGATTATAAGACGCGTACCTGGAGATTGCCTTGACATATAGGTGGAGCGTCGTTTAATCGGGTGCTGGGGCTCATTTACAACAACGCAGCCCGTTGTATCAACAGCTGTGAGGGTCGTGTGCGTATTTGACCATACTTCACCACGCTGGCCATCGGCGGTTGGTGGAGGGGGGTGGTGGCATAGACGACGTCGGAGTGGATGACAGACGTCCGACACCGCAACGGATCCGTTCACACGCGGTGCCCTCAAGGCCCAACCCGCAAACCCGGCCGGGCGCGCAGCGTGGCCTGATCCCCATCCTACTGCATCGCCAGGCTCAACTTTTCCGCCTGCTTAGCTTGCGAGAGTCGAGGCGCATCGGACGCACCGCGCGGGCGATTTGGCCCAGGGGTCAATGACGACGGGACGGCAGTTGCCCCAGGAAGGGAGGGAGGAGAGGGGAGAGAGAGGCCGTGGCCACGGAACTTCATGCACTACCAGGGCCCTCTCAATTACCTCGGTGGAGCATGCGACGTTGGGCAGACGCGGAGACACAGATGCGGAGACAGAGAGAAACGGAGACACAGAGACACGGAGACACAGAGACACACAGACGCGGAGACACAGAGACACGAGCACGGAGACACAGATGCGGAGACAGAGAGAAACGGAGACACAGAGACACAGACGAGGAGACACAGAGACACGGAGACACAGAGACACACAGACGCGGAGACACAAGAGACACGCACGCGGAGTTGGGCAAATTCTTTGTCACGGAATTTGGCAGCGCCGCTTGACTTCTTCCTTGCTCTTGAGATGGAGCACGAGAGAGAGAGCGCGCGCGAGGGGTCGTGAATCCTCGCCCCCCTCCCCACCCACCGTGCCACCCCGGGCCGCACCACCACCCCCACCGTGCCACCCCGGGCCGCACCCCCACCCCCACCGTGCCACCCAGGGCCGCACCACCACCCCCACCGTGCCACCCCGGGCCGCACCACCACCCCACCGTGCCACCCCGGGCCGCACCCCCACCCCCACCGTGCCACCCAGGGCCGCACCACCACCCCCACCGTGCCACCCCGGGCCGCACCACCACCCCACCGTGCCACCCCGGGCCGCACCACCACCCCCACCGTGCCACCCTCGCCGGCCCCACGGCGAGTTTCTTTGCCGCGAGAGCGGAGCGAGCTCGGAGCGCGTGGCCCTCGTCCTGATGTCTCTTCGGGAGGGTGCTGATCACGGGCGGAGTTTTCGGAGCGGGGAGGGTGCACGGGGGTGGGGGGGGGGGCATTGCCCCCCTCCCCACCTCCGTGCCCCCCCCCCAACACAAATATAGAAGGCAAAATTCCGCCGATGGTGCTGCTGCTGCCACTTTGGGATAGTTTGGCCAACTCCACTGCTGATGCGAGTTGAGCTCCACGCGCGAGGAGGAGGAACGGGAGGGCTAGGAAGGAGACCCCCCCCCCCATCCCCCTTGAGAGGGTAGCGCTCGAAGCTCCGCACAGATGGATTCACGTTGATGGAACGCCACCACGCGGCCTACGCCTCCAAGCGCCGGACAATCTCCCTCCCGGCCAGGTACGAAGCGGGCTCGCTCCTGCTTGGCCCTGTCGATTTAGTGCTAAAGCAGGTCTCTCTGTAAGATGCTCAAAAACGCATCGCCTCCGTGTCTCCTCGTCCCGTGGTGCCTGGCGCCGTCTCCGTGTCTCGCTGTCCCTCCCCAGGTCGCTCTGTCCGCCGCCAGGACCCGGACTTCCAGGTGACTGTCCCCGTGAGACTGACGTCACGGGCCCAGAGGGACGTGGGGCCACGGGGCCCCCCACTGCGCTACCTGCTCAGCCACCACGGGAAGCGCGTTCGTCTCGACCTGAGGCCCAACCAGGCCCTGCTCGCGCCGGGGTAACTCCTGCCAGCCGTGGGGGGGGGGGGGGGGGGGGGGAGGGCACGGGCGAGGCGGGTGGGGGTGGTGGACGATAACTGATTGGATGTGAATGAATCGGCGAGTTGTGCACACTGCAAGCAACGAACTGGCCACGAAGCAGAGGTCGCAAACGGGTTTTGATTCCTTACCCGTACCCGGCCGCACCAGGGTCGCAAACGGGTACCCGTACCCGGCCGTACCCGTACCCTACCCGTACCCGGCTGGGTACGGGTAGGGTACGGGTATCGGGTACCTGATTGCGACCTCTGGGATGAAGCCATGTTGCAGGCGCGGGTGGGTTGATTCTAGGAACTTGAATTGTGAGAATAGACAAGATGTTGGGAAATGAGTGACAAACGGTCACTCACCAGTGACTCACGGCCTACCCGTACCCCTACCCGGCCGCACCAGGGTCGCAAACGGGTACCCGGTAGCCGGGTATCGGGTAGGGTACGGGTATCGGGTACCCGGTTGCGACCTCTGCCACGAAGGTGAAGGCGCAGCCCTGCAAGTGCCGGCTCACGCCACCTGCTGGCTGAAGGGGCCTTCCACCAGGAGGAGCTCTAGAGAAGCCCTCTGGAGGAGGATATTTGGTCTATTTTTCCACGTTGATCACCGCTGGTGTTGCCCCACCGCACGTGGACTGCCGGTCGACTCTGGTGCCGCCCATTTACGCTGCTCGGTGGAAACTTGCCCCGTTGTCTCAGCCGCCGCGCCCGGAGGTCGAATCGAGGCTGCGACCTCTGGATTGCACGTCCCCTGGGGGGGAGGGGGTGAGGTGGTGGTGGGGGTGGGGCATTTAACTGGCCCCCGGTTTGAAATGCCGCATCGCGATGTGGTACCAGTGACCACTGGATTGGAAGTCAACTGCGCTTAAAGCATTATTCTGTGGCAGGAAACAAAAAAAAATCGGTGAATGTATTGGTAACAGAATGACGGGATTAATGATTCAATGGTTTAATACATATGATTGGGTGGGTGTATGAGTTAATCATTGGACATCCAGAGCAGAGCATCACCAAAGCAAATGAACGAAAATGCATCCCGGATGTTTTTACTGCGAATGAATGAATGAATGGATGGTGGGCTGTGCGCTCGTGTAGATTCGTGCTGGAGATTCGGAGCGGAGAAGGGAGATCTCAGATCCGCGTGGGAGGTCCCCCCGGCCTGCCGGGATTACCGCGAGGGAGCGACGGTGGACACGGAGACACGGAAGGGGACACGGAGAGGCACACGGGAGACGCGGAGGACACGGCTGGGACGGTGGAGACAGGAGGAGGAGGATGCCACTACCTGGGCTGGATCTCAGAGGGGAAGAGACGCACTGGGACGGCTGCCGTGAGCTCGTGCGGCGGCGGGCTGGTGAGACGCGTGGACACGGCAGGACGGACAGCCGCATGGACGGGTAGAGGTGGACAAATAGAAATTCAGAATCACACGACACAGAGGGAGAGAGAGGTGCACAGGTAGAGGGATGGAACACACGCACAGGCAGATGCAAAGAGAGACACGCACACAGACGGGCACACTGGCACACAGATACAGACAAAGATCCCTCGTTTAGGCTTAACAGAGTGTTGGGGAAAGTGCTGTTAGTGAGCATCTATGAAGGCCGGCGCGGCACACGAGGGGGTGGGTGACCAGTACCAAGCCCGGCCGCCTTTGTCTCCCCAGTGGCGATGCATACACGCCACACCAGGTATTATTTTGAGGCTGAGTCGACCTAGGGGAGGCCCAGGACCGGTTCAGATAATCGTCACTGGTGTTGGTCGAACTTTGGTTGCCAGGTTCATAGCGCAGCGCGCTAACTGCTACACTACAGACACAACCTATAAACACACACACACGCACACATGTGCGTGAAGACAGAAACACTGACAGATTTAACAGACTCACAGGCGAACAATCACACAGACAGACAGACAGACACACCGGTGGCACAGCCGAGAGACAGCTGCCCACTACGCACACATGCACAACACGCACATTCTCCGCTCATTCCGAGAACGGCTATCTGTCTCCCTTCCCTGATAACGCGTGTTCTGGGAAACCATCCACACGCAGAGCACAGTGCTCGTCCAGCGGACAGACTGGGTCCCGCCATGGGAATGTGGAATTCCCACCGCTGCGGCTCAGGAACTCCTAGCAACGGGTCTCTTTGAGGAGCCGCGCTCTGTCGGGGAGCGGCCTGGCCGGGCAGCAGCAGCAGCTGGCGAACCGCGCTGGAGATTTTGGTCGGATAGGGGCCGTCCATAAATGACGTCACGCACCTAGGGGGTGGGTGGGGGTCAGACATTTGTGACGATGTGTGACGAGGGGGGGGTTGAGAAATGTGACGTCACATCAAAATGCGCAACTTTAAATAAATATAGAATTGTTATAACAACACTAATTGTTATAACAACACTCCTACAACATCAGAGTGCAGCGCCACATTAAATACGCACTACAATGACAATAGTTTAAAGCGATTTGAAGCATGTTTTATTTTCAAAATGGAAATATGGTTTTAGGGGTGGGGGGGCAGAGCTTTGTGAAGTCATATTTGAGGGGGGGGGGGGTCTGACTTTTTGTGACGCCGTCTGACGAGGTGGGGGGGGGGGGAGAATTTGGTGCCGACGCTTCTGCCGGAAGGAGCCCAATCTCTGGCGAAGCGCCTGACGGTGCTGGGCTGTGACCACCAGCGACGGCGCCCGCACACCCAACCGCCGGTGTCGACGCTGAAGCGAGCCACACATCGCAGCGCTTGTTAATCGCGCGACGCGTGTGTCCATCGGTCGTGTCGGGCGGTGGAGGGCTCCCAACACAGGTCATACTCGCGTGGCGATCTCGCCCACGGATCAACGCGACACGCGGCGGATGCTTTGCGCGTTTCGATCCGGTGAACTTTGAAGGCCAAAGCGCGACTGGTGTTAAAATTTGTAAAAATATAACTTGACTTAGTTGAGTGGGGGGGGGGGGGGTAGCTGAGCCCTTCAGGAGGGAAGGGGGCCCTGCCCCTTGGAGCACCCCCCCCCCAAGCCCCACCACCACCTCGCTCCTTCTCTTCGCAAACCACCAACCCCAACCCACCGCCCGCTCCTCCACTCTCTCTCTCTTCCTCTCTCCCAGACAGGTCTCCTGAGACTGCCTGCGGGCGACTACTTCATAGAGCCGGTGAGGCGGGCGCGGAGGAGCCACGTGGAGGGGAGGGAGACCCCCGTTGAGGGGGGAGCGGGGTCCCCGCACCCCGGGGCGCACGTCATTTACAAGCGCGGTGGGGGGCACGGGAGCCCCCCAAACTCGGGGAGGAATGGCACGGTCCCGGCGGCATGCGGAGTTCATGGTTAGTGCGAGCGCGCGGGAGTGAGCGTGCAGCGTGTGAGTGAGTGTGCACGTGTGAGTGAGTGTGTGAGTGAGTGTGCACGTGTGAGTGAGTGTGCACGTGTGAGTGAGTGTGTGAGTGAGTGTGCACGTGTGTGTGAGTGTGCACTTTTGAGTGAGTGTGTGAGTGAGCGTACACATACGAGTGAGTGAGTGTGTGTGAGTGTGCACGTGTGAGTGAGCATGCAGCGTGTGAGTGAGTGTGCACGTGTGAGCGAGTGTGCACGTGTGAGTGAGTGTGCACGTGTGAGTGAGTGTGTGGTGAGTGTGCACGTGTGTGAGTGAACGTGTGAGTGAGTGTGCACGTGTGAGTGAGCGTGTGAGTGAGTGTGCACGTGTGAGTGAGTGTGCACGTGTGAGTGAGTGTGCACGTGTGAGTGAGTGTGTGAGTGAGCGTACACGTGTGAGTGAGTGTACACGTGTGAGTGAGTGTGCACGTGTGAGTGAGTGTGCACGTGTGAGTGAGCGTACACGTGCGAGTGAGCGTGCACGTGTGTGTGAGTGAGTGTGCACGTGTGAGTGAGTGTGCACGTGTGAGTGAGTGTGCACGTGTGAGTGAGTGTGCACGTGTGAGTGAGTGTGTAAGTGAGTGTGCACGTGTGAGTGAGTGTGCACGTGTGAGTGAGTGTGTAAGTGAGTGTGCACGTGTGAGTGAGTGTGTGAGTGAGTGTGCACGTGTGAGTGAGTGTACACGTGTGAGTGAGTGTGCACGTGTGAGTGAGTGAGCGTGTGAGTGAGTGTACACGTGTGAGTGAGTGTACACGTGTGAGTGAGTGTGCACGTGTGAGTGAGCGTTTGAGTGAGTGTACACGTGTGAGTGAGTGTGCACGTGTGAGTGAGTGTACACGTGTGAGTGAGTGTGCACGTGTGAGTGAGCGTGTGAGTGAGTGTACACGTGTGAGTGAGTGTGCACGTGTGAGTGAGTGTGCACGTGTGAGTGAGCACGCGTGGGCGTATAAGTTTGAGTGCGAACTCATCCCTTTGTTACATCCGAGATCCCCCGTGGTGGAAATTCCACGTTCCTCGCCCAGGGACGAGTCAATCCACAGCACGAGCCGCTATCGACTCCCCACACAGCGGGTACTCGCTTTTATACCCCCCCAGTAGGGCTGATGGGCCGAGTCTAACCCCAGCCAGGAGGATGTTTAGAGCCGTGCGAGCTCGTGATCGAGTGAGTGCTTGTGTAGACGTGACGCCACTGAACGCCCGACGCCGGGAACGCGAAACGTCGAGCCCAGAGCAGCGTGAGGATTAGCAGCAGGGATGATGTCAGTGCCAATTAAAGCGGCGGCTTTAGGGGCAGTCCATAAATGACGTCACGCACTTAGGGGGGGTGGGGGGAGTCAGACATTTGTGACGATGTGTGACGAGGGGGGTGGGTGTTTGAGAAATGTGGCGTCACATCAAAATGCGCAACTCTAAATAAATATAGACAACACGTTCTACTTAATTAAATAGACTTTGTAATAAATGTTTTCTCCTGCAACATCAGAGTGCAGCGGCACATTAAATACGCACTACAATGACAATAGTTTAAAGCGATTTGAAGCATGTTTTATTTGGGGGGGGGGGGCAGAGCTTTGTGACGTCATATTTCAGGGGGGGTCTGACTTTTTGTGACGTCGTGTGACGAAGGGGTAGGGGGGGGGTAAAAAATCGTCCAAAATCGCGTGACGTCATTTATGGACGGCCCCTTACGCGGAGGAGGAGGAGGGGGGGGGGCGCAGTGGTGGTTCAGCGCACCGCTCTCCAGAATCAGGATATTTATTTGGGCTCGAGGAATCCGATAAGCCGTATAGCTCTCTTTGTTTTCTTGCACAGAACCCGGCGACCCGAGTTCGATTGTCCGCCCACGGCCAACGAATATCTGAACCGGTCGTGGGCCTCCCCTAGGTCTACTCGGCCTTAAACGAGTACGCCGGGGCGCGGTGCGTAGTAAACATCGGCATTGAGTGGAAAACAAAGGGTGGTGTGATTTTCGATGTAAAGCTTTCGTGACTGCAGGGATTCATCTTCTTGGTTCTTTCGGTAAAGTCACGTAGAAGGGAAATAATAAAATAATAAAAATTTAACATATTATATTATTTTATAATGTTTTATTTTATTATTTTATTATTTCCCTTCTACGTGACTTTACCGAAAGAACCAAGAAGAAAAAAGGGTGGTGTGGTTTCCTCCGCCACGCCCGCCGCACCTTGCGCCGGCCTTAATAGGTGCTCGCCAACGGCACTTGCCCCAACAGTCTGTCAAGGCTACACGGGGGCATCTTTGTCTTTGCACATGTGGCTCAGTGTGGGGGGAGGGCAGAGAGGTCGTTGCCATGGCGATATAAACCAACAAGGAGACCCTAGTAGTGGTGCGTGTGTGTGTGTTTAAACCTCGCAGAAATGCCTGAGTTAATAGGCGCTCACAGACGGATTTGAGTTGGGGAGCGGTGGTGCAGCGGTTAGCGCGCCGCCGCTACGAACCCCGGCGACCCGGGTTCGATTCCCGCTCACGGTGACAACACCACCGGTGACGATTATCTGAACCCGGTCCTGGGTCTCGCCTAGGTCGACTCGGCCTCAAATGAGTTACCCATTGCGGTGTGTGAAAATATCGCCACTGGGGAGACAAAGGCGGCCGGGCGTGGTGCTGGCCACCCACCCCCTCGTGTGCCGTTCCGGCCTTCATAGGTGCTCGCTAACAGCACTTGCCCCAACAGCCTGTTAAGGCTATACGGGGGATCTTTGTCTTTGGGGGTGCGGTGGTGCATCGGTTAGCGCATTGCCTTACGAATCAGGCTACTTCGATTCCCAAGCCACAGCTAACATCGGTGGATGAGTGACATCACCGTCGGTCTCCCAGGTCGACTCGGCCATAAATAAAGTAGCCTGTGTGCCACCCCCCTATCGTGCCACACACCAGGCCTCAACTCGTATCAATAGGCGCTCGCTAACAGCACTCGCCCCAACAGTCAATAATCGATAGAGACACTCGCCCCAACAGTCTATAATCGATGCAGATACTAGCCCCAACAGTCTATAATCGATACAGGAACTCGCCCCAACAGTCTATAATCGATACAGGCACTCGCCCCAACAGTCTATAATCGATGCAGGCACTGGCCCCAACAGTCTATAATCGATGCAGGCACTGGCCCCAACAGTCTATAATCGATGGAGCCTGCGGAGCAATGAGAGGCACCAACTCTCCACGTTCGCCATCGCAGACTCGTCACTCCACAAGCGGACATCACCGCTGCACCACCGCTCATCGCAGAGGCAAGAAATATCCCAATAGAGTTAGCGAGCGACCCGATTTAAGGCCGTTACAGTGCCACACGAGGGGGGGTTGTTGTGGAAAGAACCACTCCCGGCCGCCTTTGTCTCCCCAGTGGTGACGTTTACACATCACGACAGGTACTCATTTGAGGCTGAGTCGACCTAGCGGAGGCCCATGACCGGTTCAAATAATCGTCACTGACGTTGGCCGTGAGCGGGAATCCAACTCGGGTCTCCGGGTTAGTAGCGCAGCGCGCTAACCGCTGCACCACCACTCCCCGAAACCACACACAAATATAAAAATGCCACCCCAATAGCCTTACTCTATGAGACATCTCCTTTACCAGTGGCAAAATATAGTAATAGGTTTTTACCCCTTCAACTGGTACGAAAACTGACACCTTTATACAAGACATCATGTTTGCAATAACCACAACACAAGCAGTCAAAATGCAAACGAAAAGAAACAACTCTGATAATGATCGTGCGCCGTACCGGCACTCGTCAGTTTTTGTACCAGTTGAAAGGGTAAAAACCTATTACTTTTACCCAATAGCCTTTTTTAGGCTCTTGGGGCAAGTGCAGTTAACGACCTCGTACACACACAAAATGCAGACACCGACTCCTGAGGGTAACTCTGTGAAATATGACCACTCTGGCCCGGTCTATAAACACCCGTGGGTGGGCGCGTGCTTCAGATAATAACACCGCCGAAGCGGCGCGTTCGTTGCGACGCTTTCGGAACGAGCGGTGAGACCACCACCGCCACCTCGAACACAAAGTGGGAACGCTTTCGCGAGCGACCAAAACGGCAGTCGCGCGCAGACAAAAGTTTCTCCCAAATTGTAGCCGTCGCACAGGCCGTGCGGGGTGCCGCTCACGAGAAGCTACACAGAAGGCCGGCACGGCGCACGAGGGGGCCGTTGGTGTGGCCCTCACCGCGCCCGGCCGCCTTTGTCTCCCCGCGGTGCGTGCTTGTTGAATCATTTCAAGGCTCTTTGTCGACCCAGAAGCAAGATTGCGACCGTTACTGGCCGCGAGCGGGGATCGAACTCGGGTCGCTGCGGTCGCAGGAGCAGCGCGGTGCACTGACCACTGCCCCCCCCCCCCCCATCGTGCACGCACGCAAGGACACACGCGTTAAGAAACAAGAACACAGCCGACCGCGCGTAGCCTGCGTACGCTGTTGGGGGGCCCATTGTGGAAAATAATAACTATTTTTCGATTTAAAGCTTTCGTGACTGCAGGGATTCATCTTCTTGGTTCTTTCGGTAAAGTCACGTAGAATTGAAATAATAAAATAATACAAATTAAACATAATAAAATATATATTATTATAGTCATGTAGAATTGAAATAATAAAATAATAAAAATAAAATATAATAAAATAATATAATAATATATATTTTACGTAGAATTGAAATAATAAAATAATAAAAATAAAACATAATAAAATATATATCATTATATTATTTTATTATGTTTTCTTTTTATTATTTTATTATTTCAATTCTACGTGACTTTACCGAAAGAACCAAGAAGAATAATAACTATTTTAATGTATTAATCGTTTGGAGCCCCGAAGTCAATCCGCTGCTGGATGAAGGCCTCCCGACGTACCGTGTCAGCCGTGTGGGCGTGTGTGGCCACACTTCACCACGCTGGCCGGCGTGGGTTGGTCAGGGTGGGTCACCTCCCCACTGAAGGCGACAGATCGATTTTAATAACTCGCCCTCGCTTCATCCACGCGGCAAAAGCCGCCCACTTTCTGCACAAAGATATTTTCCTGGCTCATCAAGTTAAAAAAATTTACCCCCACAACACACACACGTCACACCTCTTTCCGTATTTCAATCAGCTCGGGCATCCTGTGAATCACGTGACCTCTGTGAGTGGCCACCCCCACTCTGAGCCCCTCCCCCTCGCCGCGCCCGCTGCGAGAACAGCCGCCGCTCCGTGCAGCAGCAGCAGCGTCGAGTCCCTAACGCAGCCTCTCCCTCCTCCCTCTCCTCGTCTCTCCTGGACCACGGACGCACCGAGCAGTTGATTTGACGCTCCTGGCCGTCGTTGATCCCCGTTCCCTGCGGCCTCCGTTGCAGACTCGCCGCGGGCCGCCTCGCGCACGGACAGGAGACGCGAGCGCTGGCAGCAGGGGTGGCGGCAGCGCTCCCTGCTCCGCGCTGCTGCCGCTGGTGGCCCAAGACGCCGCGTGGGGCCGCGCTCCGTCAGCAAGGAGCGCTGGGTGGAGACGATGGTGGTCGCCGACGCCAAGATGGTGGAACATCACGGCGAGGAGAACATCGAGGCCTACGTCCTCACCGTCGTCAACATGGCACGTGCAGCCACTCCCCCGTGGCTCCTGGCCGCTCGCGATAATGATGCGTTGTCCATGCAGAGCGGCGTCACTTTTGCGCGAACGGCACCTCGCCGGTTGCGTCCGCGCGCGGGGGCCTCCTCATCCTACGGGTTGTTTACAACTTGGGAGGGCACCGGAAACAGCCCGCCCGTGCGAGGAGGGGAGGGCGGGGGAGGGGCAACGCTTTATCTCACACAGAAGGGACGGACGATGAAATGCAACGTGCAGTCCCGAATGAGCGAATCGACGCGGCGAACGCGACACAGCTGGGTGGGTAAGGAGTCCCCGCCAGAGCGGCTTCCGACGTTGCGCCGTGAAGTCGTCTTCCGCGGCCGTTCTATTTGACGCAGGGTGGTGCACTGCTCACCGCGAGAGTCTTGCCCCCTCTCCCCCCCCACCACCGCCACCCCGTTTGCTGCAGGTGGCCGGCTTGTTCCGGGACGCGAGCATCGGCAACCCCATCAACGTCGTCCTCGTGAGGATGGTGCTGCTGACGGGCGAAGAGGTGAGCCCTGCATGATCGGCCAAAAAGTCGCGTGTCACGCAGAGCGCACGCGCACGGCAGCCTTTGTCTCCACAGTGGAAATGTTTACACACCGCACCAGGTACTCATTTGAGGCTGAGTCGACCTAGGAGAGGCCCAGGACCGGTTCAGAAAATCGTTAGCGATGTTGTGACGGTGGGATGTGAGATGGTGGGGTGTGTGGGGGTGGGGTGTGTGACGCTGGGATGTGTGGGGTGTGTGGTGGTGGGGTGTGTGGGGGTGGGGTGTGTGACGCTGGGATGTGTGGGGTGTGAGATGGTGGGGTGTGTGGGGGTGGGGTGTGTGACGGTGGGACACGTGACGGTGTGTTCGCTCGTGCGGCTTGCAGGAAGAGCTAAAGGTGGTGCACCACGCGGACCTCACGCTGCACAGCTTCTGCAAGTGGCAGAAGAGCGTGAACCCCAAGGGGGAGGGCCACCACGCTCACCACGACGCGGCCGTGCTGCTCACCAGGTGAGTCGCGGTTCCCTGGTCGCCTTCATCACGGTTGCCGAGCCCGGCCCCAAGGCCAAAATTCTCAGAATGCCGCGCAGCCGGCAGCATATGGCACTGTTCGAGTTGTACCGGATGATGTATGATGTGGTGAGTGAATGGTGAGCGTGTGGCATGTGGTGAGTGAATGGTGAGCGGCTTCCATCTGCTGCTGGATGAATCCCTCCCCAAACCAGCGGCACCTCTCGCGACCCCGCTATGCAACAATCCACCAAAGCACGTGCACACGAACCGATTTCCTCACTCCATCTCCATGGTGACCGCGCGTGCGTGTGTGCGTCGTTGTCTTTGTGTGTGCTTGTGTTTCCAGAGTAAAGAGCGGCAGTGTAGCTGAGCCTGCCCTAGGTCGACTCAGCCTCAAATGAGTACCCGGCCGGCCCAGGTGTGGTGCTGGCCACCCACCGCCTAGTGTGCCATTCCAGCCTTCATAGATGCTCACTCACAGCACTTGCCCCTACAGCCTGTTGAAGGCTCTACGGGGGATCTCTTTACATTTGTGTGTTTCCCGCGCCCGCAGGAAGGACCTGTGTGCGGGTATGAACCGGCCGTGCGAGACGTTGGGGCTGTCGCACATGGCCGGCATGTGCCAGCCACACCGCAGCTGCAACATCAACGAGGACACAGGCCTTCCGCTGGCCTTCACCATGGCCCATGAGCTCGGACACAGGCAAGGCCCCCAGCAGTGCCGTAGCATGGGTTGGCCTTTGGGCTCTGGCGCAAGGAACGAAATAGGGCCCCTTTGACAATTTCACTGACTCGCTCGCTCACTCGCTTAATCATTCACAACACTCTAACTCACTCACTCATCCACTCGAATACACATTCAATTCAACCGCTCACTCATCCGACCCGCTCGCTCAACCGCTTTGCCACTAAATCAATCATCCGCTCCTACCCACTCGCCCACTCAATCTCCCACACTCTCCAACTCGGTTGTCGATTCGCTCGCTCAACCGCTCGCTCACTCGCTCAATGGTCCACCCACACACTCACCCGTCCACTCGCTCACGCCCTTGCCCACTCAACCACTCCCACCGACCCACTCACTTGTCGGCGCCGGTTTCAAGGTTGGCAGCCACGAGTCTTGTGGTTGTTGTTGTTTAACTTGCATCCCACTGGCATTTTTGCACGCAGCGTTGGTGTACGGTGCTTTTTCTGCAATATTAGCTGTCTTTTCTTGGATTTTCTGTTTGCACATAGTCACTTTAAGATGTTTTCTTGTTCATGTTTTTTTGTTTTTTGCGGTTGCACCCGATTCAAGAGCCGAATGGCTCACAGGGCTATACCTGATAAATGAAACTTTAAACTTTAAACTTGAGTCCCAGGTCTCGAGCCACAAGGCGAAGGCCAGAAGCCTGTTACGTTGACGCCAGCGCCAAAGCGAATCGTGACGCGTCGCGTGAAGTTCGCGATGTCGATGCCGCTGCGTTTAACTCTGCCCTCCCCCTCCCCTTCCCCCCCCCCTTGATCACCCGTCGTCCACCTCCCAGCTTTGGCATCCAGCACGACGGGCAGGGCAACGCGTGCGAGGCGCGGGGCAAGCGCCCGTCCATCATGTCTCCGCAGCTCACGTACAGCTCGCGGCCGCTCTCCTGGTCCTCGTGCAGCCGCGACTACGTGACGCGCTTCCTCGAGTGCGTGGCTCTCTTCGCAACCCCCCACCCCCCCGCCAGTAAACACGCGGCGTAACGTTGACCCGACGTTGGCGCAACGTCGGGGCGCGTTCGGAACCGTGGCCTCGGGCAAGCAACGAGGAGTGTGTATGTTACTCTTTGGTTATTGTAATAGGGTTTTAGCCTTTCAACTGGTGTACCTAGTACGCCTTTTGGCGTCATTTGGTCCAACACCAATGGAGACTAGGCTCTAAGAAAAGCTGTCTCGGGTGTGGACCAATCAACTTCAAGGACAGTGCATATCATTATCATCATCAGAGTTGTTTCTTTTTGTTTGCATTTTGACTGCTTGTGTTGTGGTTATTGCAAACATGATGCCTTGTATAAAGGTGTCAGTTTTTGTACCAGTTGAAAGGGTAAAAACCTATTACTATATTTTGCCACTGGTAAAGGAGGTCTCTTTGGTTGTTTCTGTAAAGTCACGTAGAAAGAAAATACATCAATTAATAGAATACGACGTTTCGATTGCAACACAAGCAATCGTCATCAGGTCGGACTCAATTTGAGAGAGACAAAATACAGACACGGAGACACACAGACAGACTTTACCGAAAGAACCAATGAGTAATTACTGCAGTCACGAAAGCTTCAAATCAAGTGTGTACAGTATGTTCTTCTCTCTCTCTCCCCCCTGTTCTGCGTGGGGTTTGCCTCTAGGCTCTTCGGGTTCCTCCCAGGGTTGACCAACAACAAAACAAATGTGTGACTGTATTGGCCGACTGAATTGCCCAGCACGCGGAGCGAAACGTCGGACAACGCGGGCACGAGCCCAAATGCACGTGGGTTGAGCTTCAGCAGCAGAAGCGGTTCAACCACGAAAACCTACACGGCTATTCTGTCTCTCATCCCTCATCTCTCTCTTGTCACCCCGCTGTCCACCACCCCTCGCTCCACCCCCGCCGCCCACCGCAGCCGAGGCTGGGGCTTCTGCCTGGACGACCCCCCCTCCCCTCGGCCCGAGCCCCTCGTCGTCCCCACGGCGCCCCCCGGAGCCCTCTACGATGCCCCCCACCAGTGCCGGCTGCAGTACGGGGAGGCATCGCGACACTGCCGGGGCATGGACGTACGTACGTGCGTGCGGGCACGCGCGTGTGTGTGTCTGTGTGTTTGTGTGTGTGTGTGTCTGTGTGTGTGTGTCTGTGTGTGTGTGTCTGTGTGTGTCTGTGTGTTTGTGTGTGTGTCTGTGTGTGTCTGTGTGTGTGTGTGTGTGTGGGGAGCGGTGGTGCAGCGGTTGGCGCGCCGCGCTACGAACCCGGTTTACCCGAGTTCGATTCCCACTCTGGACCGGTCCTGGGTCTCCCCTAGGTTGACTCAGCCTCAAATGAGTACCTGGTGCGGTGTGTAGTAAACATCGCCACTCGAGAGACAATGACGGTCGGGCGTGGTGCTGGCCACCCACCCCCTCGTGTGCCGTGCCGGCATTAATAGGTGCTCGCTAACAGCACTTGCCCCAACAGTCTTGTAAGGTCTTGGTCTTTGTGGGGAGCGGTGGTGTCGTTATTGATGTACTGCGCTACGAACCCGGCGACCCGAGTTCGATTCCCGCTCATGACAAATAACAGTCACGAACATCTGAATTGGTCCCGGGCCTCCACGAGGTTGACTTGGCCTTAAATTGAGGACTGCTGTGTGAGCCCCGATCGACGGCACAAAGCGCAAGGCCCCAACCGACAAGGGGGTTCGGGTTAACACGACTCTTTCTCTCTGTGCCAGCTTGCACGGCACCCTCGTGTTCACCTTCTGAAGCGCTCGCTCGTCACCGTGGCGTGCGCGATGACCACCACCACCACAACCACCACCACCACTACCACCACCACAACCACCACACCACCACCACCACAACCACCACAACCACCACAACCACCACAACCACCACCACCACAACCGCCACCACCACAACCACCACCGCCACGTGACTTTTTCTTTCGTGTTGTACGCGGTGCTTGTAGCGCCACAGCGCGTAGATTTGTAGCGTTTGTTTTCATTTGTGTTGCTGGTGACTTTGTGCATTTCAAATAGAAATCGCCTCCAGTGCTGTTGCTGCTGGCGGCGGCAATAAAAGTTGTTTAAAAGTCAACAAGTCTCTCTCATAACTCTCTCCTCACCTATCTCCCTCTCCCATCTTTCTCCCATTCCACTCTCCCCTTTCTCTCCCTTCTACTCCCTTCTCCACTCCCCAGCGATCTTTCTCTGTCCCCTTTCTCTCCTCGCCCATTCCCTCCCACGTCTCTCTTGCAACACCTCCCTCCCTGTCTCCTATCCCTCTCTTTTCTCTCTGCTCCACTCCCCATCTCTGTCCCCCCCCCCTCCTCTCTCTGCCCCCCCCCCCTGCCGCTGTACGTAGAACGTGTGCCATACGCTGTGGTGCACCGTCGGCGACACGTGCCACTCCAAGCTCGACGCTGCGGCCGACGGGACTCGCTGTGACCACGGCAAGGTGATGCAGCGTCACGGCCGCACGGCGTCACGGCACCCGCTCGGTCGCCTTGCCGGCCCTCGCAGCTGCTGCTCGCTAGCAGCACTTGACCCAATGGCCTGTTGAGGCTATCCTGGGGATCTCTGTCTTTGTTATATGTACTTGTGTGTATGTGGGGAGCGGGAGTTTAGTAGTTAGCGCGCTGCGCTAAGCACCCGGCGACACGGGTTCGATTTCCGCTCGTGGCCAACACCGGTGACGATTATCTGAACCGGTCCTGGGCCTCCCCTAGGTCGACTCAGCCTCAAATGAGTACCTGGTGCGGAGTGTAAACATCGCCACTGGGGAGACAAAGGCGGTCGGGCGTGGTTCTGGTCACCTACCTCTTCGTGTACCGTTCCGGCCTTCATAGGTGCCCACTAACGGCACTTTCCCCAACAGTCTGAAGGCTATACGGGGGATCTTTGTCTTTGTGTGTACGGCCACTCATCTCAGTCAGTCGACCCGTGGCACCTGGGTCTGTCCCATGACCTCCTGCCGGCGGGCGTTCGACACTTCACGTGGCCTCAAGGTGCACTTGGCCTGGCACAAGCATCGTGGTGACGTCACCGCCACTTAGTGGCGAATGGCGGTTGTTGTTGTTGTTGTGTATCTATGTGTGTACGTGTGTGTGTGTACGTGTGCGTGTGTGTACGCGTGTGTACGTGTGTGTGCGTGTGTGTGTGTACGTGTGTGTGTACGGGTGTACGTGTGTGTACGTGTGTGTGTACGTGTGTGTACGTGTGCATGTATATGCGTGTGTGTGTACGTGTGTATGCGTGTGTGTACGTGTGTGTACGTGTGTGTGCGTAGTGGTGCTATTACGGAGAGTGCGTCTCCACCGACTGGCGCCCGGAGAGGATCCCGGGGGGTTGGGGCTCGTGGGGGGCCTGGACCCCCTGCACGCGCTCGTGCGGGGGCGGGGTGGAGTCTGCAGAGAGGCTCTGTGACAGTCCAACGTGAGCACCACACGGACAGCGTCGCTCGCCCCGGCACTCGCCCCGGCACTCGCCCCGGCACTCGCCCCGGCACTCGCCCACACTCTCACCGCTCATCTCGTTCACTCCTCCCAAGTCCCCCCATTGTCCCCTCATTGCCCCCTCATTGTCCCCGCATTGCTCGCTCAGGCCCCGCGGAGGCGGTCGCTATTGCACGGGCGAGCGGCGCCGCTACCGCCTGTGTCACACGGCCGCCTGCCCCGCGGCAACGACGATGAAGGCGGCGAACAAGACGCCGTCGTCGTCGGCGTCGCCGGCAGGGCCGGGCAGAGCCGCGGGCGGCGCGCCGCCGTCGTTCCGCGCGCTGCAGTGCAGCCGCTTCGACAAAGTCCCCTACAAGGGGCGCCTCCACTCCTGGATCCCCGTCATCAGCCCCAGTGAGACCGCGCGCTCGCTCACCCACTCGGTCACTCGCTCACCTCTTCGGTGGCTCGCTCACACACTTGGTCACTCGCTCACCCCCTCGGTCACTCACTCACCCCATCGATGACTCGCTCACCCACTCAGTCACTCACTCACTCGCTCGCTCACCCACTCAGTCACTCACTCACTCGCTTACCCCCTCAGTCACTCGCTCACTCACTCGCTCGCCCACTCGGTCGCTCACTCACTCACTCGGTCGCCCACTCGATCGCTTGCTCACCCGCCCACCCGGTCACTCACTCGCCCACTCGCTCGCCCATTTGCTCGCTCGGTCACTCACTCGCTCACCCGCCCACCTGGCCACTCGCTCGCCCACTCGTTCGCCCACTCGCTCACTCGGTTGCTCGCTCACTCACTCGCCCCCCATCCGCCTGCTCGGTCACTCGCTCACCCGCCCACTCGTCCGCCCACCCGCTCAGTCACTTCCCCACCCGCTCAGTCGCTCGCTCGCCCGCCCACTCGCCAGCCCGCTCACTTTCTCACCCACCCACTCAGTCGCTCGCTCTCTCGCCATCCCCCGATCGCTCGCCGTTTGCTCAACCACCCGGCCGATCGCTCGATCGTTTGCTTACTCATCCAGCAGCACACCCGAGCACGATCACCGATCACTTGCTCACCTAATCGCCGGCTCTACCCAGCGCACACGCACCCACGCACGTCACTCCAGTGTACGCGTAACGCCGGCGCCGTGCGTGCGTGCCCGTGCGTTATCGTGCGATGTCAGTGAACCCGTGCGAGCTGCACTGCCAGCCGGTGGGCGAGCACTTCACGGAGAAGCTGCTGGACGCTGCGGTGGATGGAACGCCGTGCGCGGACAACCCCAACGCCCGCGACATCTGCATCAACGGCATCTGCAAGGTGCCAGGGTGGATCCCGCCAGGCAGAGCGCGCGTTCATTTGCTCGCTCGCTCCTCAAACGCTCATCATCGACTCGAGTGTTCTTTTGACTGTTCTCTGGTACACTCGCTCCACTGATCACTCACTCTATCGGTCACTCACTCCGTTTGTCACTCACTCGCTCCATCAATCACTCACTCTATCGGTCACTCACTCCGTTTGTCGCTCACTCGCTCCATCAATCACTCACCCACTCACTCAATCTGTCACTCACTCCCTCTGCCACTCACCTGCTCCATCCATGAATCACTCACCCACTCTATCGGTTACTCACTCCGTTTGTCGCTCACTCGCTCCATAAATCGCTCACTCACTCTATCGGTCACTCACTCCCTCTGCCACTCACTCGCTCTATCAATCACTCACTCACTCTATCGGTTACTCACTCTGTTTGCCACTCACTCGCTCACTCACTCTATCGGTCACTCACTCCCTCTGCAACTCACCCGTTCCATCCATGAAACACTCACCCACTCTATCGGTTACTCACTTCGTTTGTCGCTCACTCGCTCCATAAATCACTCACTCACTCTATCGGTCACTCACTCCCTCTGCCACTCACTCGCTCCATTAATCACTCACTCACTCAATCGGTTACTCACTCCGTTTGCCACTCACTCGCTCCATTCATCAATCACTCACTCTCTCGGTCACTCACTCCATCTGTCGCTCACTCGCTTCATCAAAGACTCACTCACTCACTCCCGTGATTATTTTATTGATCCCCCCACCCCCCTCCATTCATCAAGAATATCCTGAAGCAGAAGTTGCTGTTGGACACAACCACATTGGCCAATGCGATTTGTAACTCTGATCCTTACCCATACATTTTAATGTGGCATTCAATTGAGGCAATATGTGTATTTAATGGTGCGGTCTGGGACTGTTTGTGATGTTACTGCCTTGCCCAAGCTTGCATTTAGCGCTGGAAAATCTGCAGCTTATTATTGTATTGTTGCAAATTGTACTTAAGTGGCATTCCTATACCCTGCACCGCTATCGGTTTTTGTCTCTTGTGTTGTTGTAACTCGCTGGCCCCGTGCCCCTACTGGACATCTGTGAAAAGAGCTTCATAGCTCATCGGATTCCTCCTGAATAAATATCCTGATTCTGAGTACATCACTTGTGTGAGGTGTCTCACCTGTGTCTCACCTGTGGTGAGGCTTCTCACCTGTGTCTCACCTGTGTCTCACCTGTGGTGAGGCTTCTCACCTGTGTCTCACCTGTGTCTCACCTGTGTCTCACCTGTGGTGAGACTTCTCACCTGTGTCTCACCTGTGTCTCAGCACGTGGGCTGCGACCTGCGGATCGACTCGCTGGCGGTGGAGGACCGCTGTGGAGTGTGCATGGGCGACGGCTCCACGTGCCGCACCGTCAAGAAAACCTTCAACGACAGCGAGGGGCTCGGTGAGGGGCCTGGTGGTGGTGGAGGAGGCGGGCTGAAGGGCGGGGTCAGGGGGGAGGGGGCCCTGGGGGGTGCACCATGACCGTAACAACGGCGATGGTGGAATTGTAACACCACGACGATGATGATGATGCCCAACCAAAAAAGCAAAGTGAAAGGGTGGTGGCGAGCGGTAGTGGCAGCATGGGAAGGCCTCCATCCAGCAGTGGAGCGACCGACGATCATTAATACAACAACCGATTTGTGTTCATGTTGCACCCCAAAGCATGTCAGAGCGCAGTTGATTTTAAATTTAGCCTAGGGGACCCCTCCCTCCCCTGACGGCAGCTGATTTTCCTTTAAGATCTCCGCGGATCCCGTACCATCGGCGCCACGAAACTTGACCCCCCCACCCACCCCCCCCCCGTGACCTCCAGGCTACGTGGACATCGACCGCATCCCGGCGGGCGCGCGGGACATCGTCGTGGAGGAGGTGGAGGAGGCGGGAAACTTCCTGGCGCTGCGCAGCGACGCGGAGCCCGCGCGCTACTTCCTCAACGGCGGTTGGGTGATCCAGTGGCGCGGGGACTACGCGGCGGGCGGCGCCACCTTCACCTACTGGCGGCGCGGGAACCTGGAGAACCTCACGGCCACCGGGCCCACGCGCGAGCCCGTTTGGATACAGGCGAGCGGGGCAGGGGGTGGTGGTGGGGGTGGAGCGGGGTCGGTGGATAGTGGGGGAGGTGGGAGGGGTGTGGGGGGGGTAGTGGGTGGGTGGGGGGGCAGGGTGGGGAAGTGGGAGGTGAGTAGTGGGGGGGAGAGCGGAGTCCGTGGGTAATAGGGGAGATGGGAGTGGTGGGGGGGGGGGATTAGTGGGTGGGTGGGGGGAGCGGGGTTGGGGAGCTGGGTGGGGGAGTGAGTAGTGGGGGGGGGTGCGGGGTGAATGAGTGGGGGGGGAGGAGTGGGTTGGATGAAATGGGGGGGGAGCGGGGTGGATCAGTGGGGGGGGGGAGCGGGGTGGATGAGTGGGGGGAGGGAGCCGGGTGTATGAGTGGGGGGGGAGCGGAGGGCGAACGCGGGGGGGAGTGGGGGGGCACTGGGGGGGTTGGGGGGGGGGAAGATGAATATCTAACAACTCCATAAGAGAGAGAACTGCGAGTGAATTGCATTGTCTGGCGTGGTGCATTGTTAGGCCACTAATAAACACTGGGCCTAGGCTAGCAGTAGGCGCTTGTGTCAAGGTGAGTGCCAGGGCGAATGTTAAGGGAGCGTCAGGAATACGGCGAGCGCTGGGGCACCGTCGATCCAGCCGGTGTGGGGCTCACCGTCAACTCTCCTCTCCGCTCCCACCACCACCACCACCACCTCCGCCGCAGCTCCTGTTCCAGGAGTCGAACCCAGGCATCCGCTACGAGTACACGGTCCACCAGCCCCCGCACGGCGAGGGGGCGAGTCGGCCGCGGGAGTTCGCGTGGCGCTACGGGCCCTGGGGTAGCTGCACCGCGCCCTGCGGCAGAGGTGCGAGCACGCAACCGCATGCAACCAAACGCAACCCGCACGCAACCAAACGCAACCACACACAAAGCCGCACGCAACCGCACGCAATGCGTATACGACCCGCATATAACCGCACGCAACCCGCACGCAACCAAACGCAACCACACACAAAGCTGCACGCAACCGCAAGCAACCGCACACAACCGTATGCAACTGCATGCAACCACACGCAACCCACACGCAACTCGCACGCAACCTGACGCAAGCGCACAATCTTGCAACGGCGTGTAGGCCAGACCGCCCTGTCCCCCTCTCCTCCCATCGTGAATCCTAATGAGTGGGAAAGGTCGGTGAAATACATAATAATAATAATAATTGACATCGTTAAGGCGCAATTCATCCCAGGATCTCAGTGCGCCAATGCACGAAGTTAGGAAATATAAAGAGTGCAGAGTCCAGGGTCCACTGGCCATACATGGAAAGTGTAGGCCAGGCGATACAGGTGAAGACCTAAACAAGGTGAGTGACCTCGTCTGTGTGACCACAGGTGGCAGAGCGCTCCATAGTTTTGGCGCAGCGCATGCAAAGACTCGTTCACCCCAGGTGCAGAGTCTAGTTCTCGGCAACATGGAGCAGATAACAACAACAACAGTACTCTTTGGTTCTTTCGGTAAAGTCACCTAGGTATAAAATAAAATAAATCACGACGTTTCGGACGCAACACAAGCGTCCGTCATCAGGTGGGAAAGCATGGTCTGCTGCTGAGGCAGACTGTTTTAAAAGGTTTGAAATGGGTGTAGCCCAAGGGTCATAAAGAAGTGGCCGGGGCTAGTGATGTTAATGTGAGAAATTAGCATGATGTTAATGTGAGAGATTAGCATGATGTTAATGTGAGATAGGAGGAGAGTGGCCTCCTCGACGAGGGCACGGAAGTGGCTACGTTAATGTGAGGGATTAGCGTGATGTTAATGTGAGAAATTAGCATGATGTTAATGTGAGGGATTAGCCTGTAACTGTAAGATAGGAGATGATAAGTAAGAGGCTCTGCGGTGCGTTTGGTCCTCCGGAGAAGTGGGAGGGGGTTTGCGAAACGCCAAAACCTTTATTTCAAATTAGTTCTTCTGAAGGGCTGTTTGCGTACATCTGCAATAGCGTTCGGAAACGTCCCTCCACCGTCACAACACCGCAGCTCAATCCATCCGCTGCGGAGTCTGCCCAAATCTCAATGATGATAACAGCCGTCAAAAAATAAATACAGGATATAGGTTTTTGGGTCAGATCGCGTTATTTATAAATGTGTCGTAACCCTCCACTACCCGACACGGCCAAACAGTAAAAAATGTGTCACGTTGACAAAGGACAAAATAATTCACTTCTTTAGCCCACCGGTGTGCTGAAGAAAGAATCAACAGAATTTAAAAATGTGAGTAATACGACGTTTCGCTGATAATTACAATCAGCTTCATCGGGCAAGAATGGTGAAGCTCTCCTGTTGCTTCCGGTCTTAAATAGAGAAGCATCAGGGTGACGTCATCATTTAATTCAATTCAATCTGGTGCAGTGATTCGAGGCAAAGAAGGGGAGGGTATTTTAAGTATATAGATTGGTAATCATTCAATTTATAAATAACGCGATCTGACCCAAAAACCTATATTATGAATAATATTGGTCGCGAAAGCCTCCGTGTTAAATATCATACAGGACCCTACCGCCAAACCTGCTGGTTTCAAACTTCCACGCCGCCAGTGGGTCGACCATCAAACGAATCGGGACCGGGCCACGTGGCCGATGCGGCCACCCAATTCCACAGATGGCGCATCAAAGATTTGGAGGCCTGTGAGCGGTGCGGCCAAAGATTCCAAAGCATCGACCGCATCGTAAACATTTCACTCATTTGAAGGAGGAATGGACGATGATCCACTCTGCTTCTGAACAGACGATTGAGTGGGAAAAAAATTCAAATTTAATTTAAATTGCTGCTATAAATCCATAGGAAAGAAGAAGCCGCTTATATAACTTATCTAAGAATATTTAACATACCTATTATACTCGTGACTGCAGTCACGAAAGCTCCAAAATTAAGATTGATACCTATTATACTCTTTGGTTTTTTCGGTAAAGTCAGCTACCTGACGCACACAGGCCCACGCACACAGCTGCTCACACAGGCCCACGCCCGAACAGAACCCTTGGGGCTATTAGCACCCTATTAAGTAAGATTAGCGCGGCGCACAAGGGGGTCGGTGTGGCCGAATATCGCGAACGCGCCGCCTTTGTCTTCCTTGCGGCGGTGTTTATGCACCATGCACAGAGGCGTGCACTCGTCGGCTCTGCGCTGTGACGCCCCCATGACCCACGTGTGTGCGTGCCTGCGTGCGTGCGCGCGCGTGCGCGTGCAGGGGTGCAGAGGCAGGAGGTGCACTGCACGGAGCGCACGGCGGGGCCCGTGGAGGAGCGGCTCTGCGACGACGTCCCCCGACCCGACGACCGCCAGAGAGCCTGCAACGAGCACGAGTGCCCCGCACGGTACCAACGCGCGCACAACCCGTCCCTCTGTCCGTCTATTCGTCCATCGGTCCATCGGTCCGTCGGTCCAGCCATTGCGAAATCATCATTGGTCTGTCTCATGGTCCTCCGATAAATGGATCAACAGACCGTACGCCCGTTGGTCGTTTCGATCGCAACAAAAGCGGTCGTCATCAGGAAAAGGGGGTTAGCTTCTAAAGGCAAATTGTTTATAAAGGTTTGAAATGGGCATAGCCCATATGTCAGCGAGCATGGGCGGGGCAGCTGATGTTAATGTGAGTGTTGGGCGGCGACCGCGACGATGGTGGGTGTTCCAACAATTTATGGGCTGCCAGGTAAAAATTTGCATGTTAATGTAAGATCGGTAAGCGGCCTCCACGGCGAGCGAGCTGAGGTGGCTATGTTAATGTGAAGGATTATCATGTTAATGGGAGATCAAAGAGCCACCGCCACCTCGAGTTGCTCAGTTTGTACCCATCTTCTTGGTTGAAATTGTGTCTGTATATATGTATGGCTTCATGAACGAATCTTTGTTGATTGTTATATCTGTTGTTCTAAACGTCTTTTGGACCATCCATCAGTCCATGCAAGCATGTGCGTCCGTACCTCTGCGTGCGTGTGCGTGCGGTGAGTGGGGGAGCATCAGTCAGCGCGCTGCGCTACAAAAAACCACCTGACCCAAGTTCAATCCCGGCTCACGATCACAATAGGCGCTCGCGAAAAGCACCTGCCCCAACGCGGGTGACCGTTGCCGTGCGCGCGTAGGTGGTGGGTGGGCGAGTGGCAGGGCTGCCCGTCGCCGTCGTGCGGGTCACGCCCCACCGCCGGCGCGTCCTCGGAGGAGACGGAGGAGGAGGAGCGGCGCTCCGTGCTGTGCGTGCGCGGCGTCGGGGCCGACGAGCACCGCGCGCTGCCCGCGTCCCAGTGCGAGGGGCTCCCCCGCCCCCCCCACGCGCGGCCCTGCCCGGGGCCGCCGCCGTGCCCCACCCGCGGGGACGTCCCCGCTGGAGACCCGCGCGGCACGTGGCTCGTGGGCGGCTGGTCTCCGGTGCGTCCGTCTCTCCCTTGAGCCCATCTCCCCCTTGCGCCGTCATCATCGTCGGCCGCGGTCGATCCGATGGCGGATGAAGGCGCCACCACGAGAGGCGGTGGCCGACCGCCTCTCGTGGTGTCACGCGACGCGACCCTCCGCCTCGCTCTGGCACAACGAGCCGATCTCGTTCACTCCGGACACGGAGCGAACGGGGCTGGGAGGAAGGGAGGGGAGGGAGGGAGTGAGGGAGGGGGGAAGGGAGGGAGGAATGGAGGGAGGGGAGGGAGGAGCGAGAGAGGGGTTTTGATATCGCAAGGGAATCCGCACGAGGGCTTCCCCCTCGTGCGACGCCGCTCCAGGGGATTAAAGTGTCCCCCTGTTGTTTCCGCCCGTTGGCTTCCAGTGCTCGGCGACGTGCGGAGCCGGCGTGAGGTCCCGCGACGTCCGCTGTGAACGCCGGAGCGGAGACGACGTCTGCGACGAGGCCGATCGGCCCGCCGAGTGGCAGCGCTGCGACTGGAGGGCCTGCGCCGAGCTGCCCCCAACTACCGGACCCGCCGCCAACGGGACGGGCGGCACGCACCACGGCGGCCCTCGCCAAGACGACGGCGGCGATGACGACGACGAGGACGATGACCGTGAAGATGACGATGGCGAGATCGGCCGTCGTGAAGATGACGATGGCCGTGATGAAGATGATGGTGAAGGCACAGAATCTGATGACGGTGAACATCATGGAGGCAATGAGATTGATGACAATGATGATGCTGATGAAGACTCTGACGAGGATCATGGTGAAGACAATAGAAGCGTGGAGGATGATCGTCATGAAGACGATGGTGATGACGACAATGAAGATAACCGAGACGATGAAAATGACCGTGATGATGAAGATAACCATGGTGAAGATGATGATGATGATGGAGGTCATGAAGATAATCACCATGGAGACGATGATCGTGATGCCAATGAACATCATGGAGACGATGACCATGATGATGAGGATGATGAAGAAGATGATGGTGATGACAACGATGAAAATAACCGAGACGATGAAACTGACGGTGATGATGAAGATAACCATGGTGAAGAGGATGATGATGGAGGTCATGAAGAAAATCACCATGGAGACCATGATCGCGATGCCAATAAACATCATGGAGACGATGACCACGATGATGAGGATGATGAAGAAGATGATGGTGATGACCGTCATGATGAAGGCAGTGATCATCAGCATAGTGAGGACAACGACCACCATGACACTGTCCACCGTGAAGACGACGACGATAATGAGGAAGATGTTGACCCAGACCGGGATGGAGACGTCGCCCCAGATGAACGCGACCACCACCAACGCGAAGAAACAGTCGGCCGTGGCGCCAAAGATGGCGAACACAACGGCATCGACAGTGGACTCGCGGTCGACGACGATGACGACGACAACAATGATGTGGACACTGAGCAAGACGTGGAAGATCAAGGAGGCGAGGTCCACGTGGACAGCAACGCCATCGTCGTTCCAAACGACATCAAGCGGCTCAACCAAAACTTGCGCGGATCCTCCTCCTCGTCGTCGTCGTCCTCCGATTCGCAAAGCGACGACGCGAGCGAGCGAGCAGAGTGGCACGACCCACCGGGTGAGCCGCGTGGTCGACCTCCGACCTCCACCACCTCCTCGTCCCCATCCAACGGGAGCACTAACGCCAAGAAGAAGAACCTCATTGATATCTACTACTACGACTACAACTTCATCAGCTTCCACGAGGACCTCCTCTATGACCTGGACGAGGCTGGGACGGGCGCGACTCGTGAAGGCCAATCCCAGCAGCCTGCCGACCAAACCACCGCCACCACCACCACCGCCACAACCACCACGGCCACCACGGCCACCACCGCCACCACCTCCGCTTCACTTCCGCCACTACCACCGCACCAACACCGCTACCGCACTACAACTCCAGCCGCACCACAATCACCACCATCGGACCACCACCACCCCACCACCGCACCGCCTGCACTGACACCGCACCAGCAACAACATTCACCGGTTCATATGACACCAAACCACCACTACCGCCACCATGGCGCCAGCGCTGGCAATTTTCCGGCCGCGTCACAACCTCGTGCGGCAACCGAGACTGACAGCAATCGAGCTGCTTTTGACGTCGCCACTCCGCCAGCCGAAATGGCGAGAGGGTACGTCGATCGCGCGCCCACGACGGCCGGACGGCAACCTGACGGCGACGGGCGGCGGCCCGCGGGGGACACCGTGCCGGACAACCGAGCATCCAGCACGCCGAGTTCCCCGACTGTCACCGGACTCGCGTCGGGCATCGCGGTCGAGCGAGCTGTCCGGAAAGCCATCGGCGATGCCGCTGCTGGAGATGGATCCTCGGAACGAGAGACGCCGGGAGAAAGCCGATGGGATGGCGGCGCCGGCGGCGGCGGCCGCACGCTCGCACCAACCGGCACTGAGTCGCCGATGCCAATCCACGAATTTGCCGACAAAGTTCTGCAGGCCAGGAACGAAGGCGACGGCTTCGGTGGGAGCGCGTTTTCACCCGGCGGCCCCGGAGCCAGGCCCATGGCCGTCGCCGCCACCGCCACCGCCACCTCGGCACACGGGGCGAGAATCCGACCCGAGCCTCCGACGGTGCCGAGTGCGCTGCCGGGCTCGAGCCACGAGCGCCGGCAGGCGCCGCCCCTCGCTGGAGGCCGAGGAGAGGGCGGCCTGGCCGCATCGTCGTCGCCGGTGTCATCATCATCGTCATCGTCGCTGTCGTCGTCATCGTCGTCGCCATCGTTGTCGGTGGCGTTTCCTGAGCGCGCGGGGGAGACCTCGCGGCGAGCGGAGGAGACGAGGCTACCGGAGGCCTCGTGGAGGGTGACGCCGTGGAGCGAGGTGAAGGATTTCTGGGAATAAATAAATAAATAAATCGCCGGATCGAGGTCGGGGCGCCGAGCCGGCACCGATGGGAGCCTGAGTTCGAATCCAGGCGGCCGCCTGTGAAACTCCGCCTGGTTCTCTTAGCGCAGCGAGTCGATGGTCGCGGCCTGGCCACCAACTACCACGTTCACATCAACGTGCGAGTTGATGTCGATGTGCATCTCTGAGTCAGCGAGGCGCAGCGGCTCGTGCCCTGCGCCAGGGGCCCAGCGAACCGAGTTCGATTCCTGTTCACAGCCAACAACGGTGACGAATATCTTGACTCGGCTTTAAATGATGAACCTGATGGCGAGACAAAGGCGGCCTCGCGTGCCATGCCATCATTAATAGGTACTCGTTAACAGCCTATAAAGTTACAGGCGGGATCTTGAAGTGCGTGTGGATGTGTGTGTACACGCGTGTGCATGTATGTGTGCGTGTATGCGCGTGTGTGAGCGCGTGTGCATGCGTGTGTGTATGTGGGGAGCGGTAGTGTAGCTGCGCTACGAACCTGGCGACCCGAGTTCGATTCCCGCTTACGACCAACACCAGTGGCGATTAATTATCTGAACCGGCCCTGGGCCTCCCCTAGGTCGACTCAGCCTCAAATGAGTACCTGACGCGGTGTGTAAACATCGCCACCGGGGAGATAAATGCGGCCGGGCGTGGTGTTGGCCACCCACCCCCTCTTGTGCCGTGCCGGCCTTTATAGGTGTTCCCTAACAGCACTTGCCCCTACAGTCTGTTAAGGCTATACGGGGTGTCTTTGTGTGTGTATTAATGTGCGTGCGCTGCAGTGCTCGGCCACGTGCGGGCTGGGCGTGGCACGCCGGAGCGTGTGGTGCGCATCGAGGTCGCGGTCGGGGTCGGCTCACTGCGACTTCACCCAGAGGCCGCCCCCGGCGCGCCGCTGCTCCGTGCGGCCGTGCGTCGCCTGGCACGCCGGGAACTGGAGCGAGGCATGGCCCCACCCCCCCGCCCCCGCTCGCTGCCCACCGCACCCGCACGCATCGCGACATCTTCACGGGACGTCGTGCGCCTGTCCTGGCGGCGGAGTACCGACTGTCGCTGTTCCCTGACCCCTGCGTCTCTGTCCCCGTGTCCCTGTGTCACCCTGGTTCTGTGTTGCTGTCCCCATGTTTCCGTGTCTCTGTCCCCCTGTCTCCCTGTCCCCATGACCCCGTGTGTCTCTGTCCCCGTGACCCCGTGTCTCTGTCGCCGTGACCCTGTGCCCCTGTGCCCCTTTGACCCCGTGACCCCGTACGACAGTGTTCCCGCCGTGGCTGTGGGCTGCCACGTGAGCGATCGCGGGCCGTGCTGTGTGTGGATGCCCGCAGCCGTCGCTCCGTGCGGCCCCAGCTCTGCTCGGCGCTGGGCGGGCCCCGCCTCGCCACCACAGAGAGGGAGGGCTGCCCCCCGCTGCCCTGCCTGCCCTGGGCAACATCGGCATGGGGGCCGGTGAGGGCACGCCCGTGTC